ATATTGTATGCTCCACTGGGGAAAGGGACTGATGTGAAAAGTGCAGTGTTTTTTATAAAGCATGTAAACTTGCCCACACAATAAAATTAAATAAAGCCACGACTACATAGCCACAATATACACTGAGTGGCCAGATTATTATGACCATCCAATCAGTACTTCGTTGGGCCACGAGATGACTCCACGAGATGACTTCGTTGGGCCGCCTCGTGACTCAACGAGATGTTGAAAGGTGATGCGAGGAATCTGACACTGCACTGTTGCCCTTCTGTTGTCTTGTACCAGTCTTGCCCCTCTCCGTTCTGCCCTAACATTGACTAGTCACTGACGGCCACAATTCGCACGTTCAGACCCAGATTTTCGTCTGACAGTCCAGTCTCTAAACACTTTAACAACAGCTGCTCTTGAACATTTAATAAATTCTGCTGTTTTGATGATACTCGCTCCATGGCTCCGAGCGCCAGCAATCATCCCACGTTCAAAGGCTGTTAAAATCGCGTTGTTTACCCATATCTTCAGAAAAAAAATCACTTCTACTGTCGTGTTAAACAACCTGCTTCCCTATTTATAATGGTCTGGCCCTCTAGCAACTTCAGCGTGAAATTATAGCTAATTTGCCTACAAACGTCAGGTGGTCAAAATAATCTGGCCACTCAGTGTATATTAAAGACTGTTTCTATCTACAAAAAGTACATACATTGTACATTGTAAATCCAAACACACTAAATTCTCCCACAATCTAATCTCCTTGTCTTGATAACATGTGTATGGAAAAGGGGACAGGCTTATTGGTATGTGAGATTGATCTTAATATTACCCTTCCAAAAAAAACTAATACAATACAAATTAAAGCTGAACTCCAGATAACACTTTTTAAGTGGTTACAGAGACAGTTTTTTGTTTTTTTTCTGTGGGATAAAGGTTTTACATAAACAAAAGCTGGCCATTGTAAGCACCCCTGAGTGTTAAATGGCATATCTTGACCTTCAAACTGCCACTATTGCTGATTAGGGATGAGCTCAGTTTCAGCCTAAACCCGAGCTCCTCCAAACCCGGAAGAGACATAAGGCGACCTGCCCAATCAGCTGTGGGCCGGGCATTCCCTTCCCTGCAGCTGAACATAAACAAAGTGTTGGGATTCTTGTGCTGACATCATTGACTTTACATAGACACATGGCCATATTAGGTCAATGTCATTGACCAAATATTTCTATGTGTCTGTATAAGGTCAATGATGTCACAGCATCCCACCCCTTTGCTTACAACAGCTGCAGGCGGGGAATTCTACTGCTGTAGCTGATTAGGCGGCAGTGAAAGGGCCTTCTTTCCAGGTTCAGAGAAGTATAGGTTCAGACCACGTTTGGTCCAAACCTGAACCTATTCCTATTCCTGGGCAATTTGGTCTTTCAAAGGAAGTTGAATGATAACAGACTTACTGGCAGGATTGCCTTGTGAAAATTAAAGGGAAAGCCTAAAAAAAAATGTAGCTAAAAGATCTAAGAGTTGGTAAGCTGCAATATATTAAATGTTTGTTTTTGGGTTCAGATAGACTTTAAAGGGTCTTTCAATTCAAAATAAATAATTGGGTTACAGAAGGAGCATGGACTGAGTAAGCACCTGGTTTCTTATATGTCTCGGTTACTCCACCAGGGAGACATCCCCGTCATAATTTCCTAATTTAATCCTTTACACCTGGGTGTTTTGTGTGTTTTCACCCTCCTTTGTTCTAGCATTTCTTGTGATAAATAGAAATTATATAGAAAGAAAGGAAACCACTCATAATAGGCACAGCAGGCGTGCAAATCCAGTCCCACTCAAGTGCAAGGTTTTTACTATTGAAATCCCTATAAGAAAAAATAGTTTAAGTCTCCAGCATCTGCCAAAAACTGAAATATCACTTTTTGGTGCTTTTACCCCTTAAACTCTTTGCAGTCCTAATATTGTACAAATACAACATATAATATACCATGTAGCTATGATTTTTTAAATTCAATTTTATATAAGAAAATATGGAGCAGAATGTGTATGAACAAATTGATGGGGTATAATAAGGGGCCCATTATACTACACATTCTTATTTTCTTTTTATTTTGGTAGTTACAGACATTATAATATAACCTTTTAGGATGTGAAGCAATGCTTGCTTATACAGTGGTTGTGCATGCAGATGCTGTCCATGATTCAAAATAACCTTTACATGTTGTGTACAAGCATTTGGAGACAAGCACGTAAAATGTTTTGATACGTATTATGTATGGGCTTGCATCCTATCATCAATCAACATACTAGGTGAAAAGACCGAGATCAATTAGAATGAAACGGTAAAATCAGCAACACTATTCCTGTAATACAAAACCTAGTGCCAGACTGGAACCAATTTGAAATGTTTTGTTACTTTCCCCTTGGAAACAAACCAAATGGAAATACTGTACATCAAAAGGCATTTAACTATAATAAAGGGCTGTGCAGTGCAGCAATTCTGCATGCACCACAAACAGTTCAAATCATTTCGCCTCTATTTCTTCTGCCAAATTAGCACTGACATTCTATAATGACAGTTAAGTACAGAAAGAGTTTTCTTCCAAGACTACAAGGTGCTGATAAGGCACTGAAACATAAAGAAAGAACGAAACAAGCAAGGTATTAACTTGTCAAAAACTCAAGCTGTTATTTTAAATTATATTATGTTTGATCCAAAATTCATTACCGACAACCATGTAAGAGTAAATTTATAGTCTGTTGGTGTAAGTACATAAAATGAAAGAGTAATAGTAATTCACATAATCAATAATTCAGTCATTATAATATTAAAGGACTTTTTAATACCACAAAAAAAAGAAATCATTTAAGTTTATCTTGAATTTCAAGGTCATAAGGTGACTGTTTACTGTATATGAATATGACAAATACATGTTATTCAGTATCACAGTAAATGTCATTTTGTGTATTTGTGTTCTTCATTCCCTATTTGTGCATATTGCCATTACATTATGCATGGCTTCAGAGACTACACAGAACCATTCATATACTGTAAGTCCTTGCCTCAAAGGAGCTTACAGTTTATTGTTCCCGCCACACTTGTACACACACTGGGGCAGCTTTGGGAAGAAGCCAGTTAGCTTACCGGTCTGTTTTTGGAGTGTGGGAGTGAACCAGAGTAACCACAAGCAACTCAGTCAAACACACAAGGTGAACATAAAAATAGGAGCATTTGTTTCCAGGGCCCAAAGATGCAAGGTAGAAGTGCAAGGGTTTTCTGTGTGCCTTTCACTTTGAACCACACACAAAATTACCTTTCTCTGCACCATGAAAGAAGAGGTCTGCACTATACTGTCTGTGAAGGTTCTCATATATCTAGGTCAAGGTACAATTCGTAGCAGTTAGTCATGTTTCACCGTATTTATTCTGTAATGTTAAAAATGCTTTGCAGCTTATCCAAGCCGCTTCTTTTAATTCTTGGAAAACATCATCAACATTACAGAATAAGTCCAATTGAATGTAAATAACTAGCTATGAACCATACCCTTTACCTGGCCACTTCCATCCTGATGCATCACTAGCTAAACTCATACAGTCATCTTCATGTTCAAATTTGGCAGTGCAAAATTGGAACTGAACTGAATGGCTTAATACACTTTCAGACAACAATAAGCCTTTCTGTGAAAAACACTTAGGGCTCATTCACACTTGTCTACATGCTAAACCACTCAGTTTTAGTATATGGGGAGTGTGCTGAGTGATGCCCAACGAGATCATAATATATATTCACAGGAAGAAGAAATACACCAAGATCTTTGTATGGCATCTTTTCAGCCTGCTGAGTATGTCATAGCTGTTAATGACACGGACACAGAATGGTACCTGCTAACTCTCAAGCTGGTTAAAAAATATGAATACTGAGTTGTCATTGGTGATTTGTTTTTAAAGAAGCAAGCTCCAAAGATTGTTACTCTTATACATGCTTTTCTACCCAATGTGTCACTGACCAGGAACAATCATATGCAAATCATGGGTTTAAACACTGTATTTTGGTCTAGGTTTCCCATTGATATCACAATGTATAGTTCATATATTTCTGCCTGTCAGCTTCCCTTTACAACATGCAAACAGATAAATTGATCGAGTTGACTGCTATGGGAAGTCAGTTATGTTGCATATTAACAGCCCTCTCAATTTTCAGAAACGAAAACAAAACTGATATTAACAGGTATTTAAAGTACTAAAGAACTCTGCCATGATAAAATATAGGATTTTTTTTTTTAAACCAAAGATTTTATAGTGTAAAACCACCAATATGCATTTGGTTTTCAGCATTTTCTAGAATGCTGAATTTGTTCAGTGTTTGCACTTGTGCTTTATTATGTGTTGATTTAAGTGCTTATTCTGTAAGCCCTTTCTTGGGAGCAATAAGAACAAAGTCTAGAATGCCGGAGCTGGGAAGGAGGTCATAGGTTATGCTTTGTGGAGCACCAAGGAGTACAGTAACAGGGTCAAGGGTGATGCTCGGCTATGTGCAGCCAATGTCAGATTACATCTTTTAATATCTGTTAGTTTCATAATATGCAGCATGTACTAACAGGAACTGCTCAGTAATGTCACAGTGTCCTCGAATGAAGGTCATTACAGTTGAATATCAAAGCAAACCAGCCAGGCACCGACAAGACAATGTTACTACAGAAAAGCCACATAGGTACATACATTCAGACATAAAGATAGATTTAAAATAATGCTTCCTTAAGTATTTGTTTACAACAGATGCTGGCAAAAACATGACTAATGATAACATTAATTTCTAGAAAGACCGCCACCGGCATGGTAAAAAAGAGGCATGTCAAGCTGCAGCATATGTTTGCTCTATTTGCATTATGTAAACAAGTAGATTTACCCTGGTAAAAAATAATAATTTGCATTGTTTATATTGGATATGCTACATTTCTATACAGTGAGTGTGAGCTGTCTGAGCTGTCACTTCTAATAAAGACAATAAAAAGGTTACTTACTTTGGGGCAATCGTTATTGTGTTTCCTTTAGGCAATGAGAAATCAGCTGACTCTCGACCTACAACTGTAGCATTGTACACTAGTGGTCTGCTGCTTGGATTTTTCAGACGGACCTGTTCCAGCAACATAAAATCACAAAGGTTAGACTATTGATCAGCAGCTGTGTATAGGTACTGTAATAATAGCAAACTGTCATTGAATACCAGCAATAAGGAACATTGCAGTCAATCACGGCAGTGTAAAACCAAATCAACAGATATTTATTAAAGTATATAATCTTTTTTTAAGAACTGATATCTTATAGCTCTATTATTATTTGTTTTAAAAACTATACACAGTTTGCTGGAATCTGCATAAAACTAATAAGATGTGTGATTGTTTCATTTCATTAATTGATTTGCAGAGAAACCAATGAACTCAGAACACTTTACAAAGGAGACCAAAGCAGTGAACACGCCCCCAGCATGAACACCTCAAATGAATCATTTTATACTTCTTTTTATTGAGATACAGACAAAAGAGACAACATTGTGATTTTAGTGAAAACATCTAGTCATTTTCCTTTGCATACAATATCTGCTGTTTCAGCAGAACAGGAGGCATAGGAATAAGCTTTGATATGCAGGAAGAAGTGAGAGGTTATAAAGAACATGAATAAATACTTTGCTCTGCATCCAACACCACAGCTTCCTTATACCAGTCAGAAAAAAATGATATCCACTACTTTTTGCTGTACAGGAGTCTATTACTGCTACTACCAAAGTTCTGTGCTTAGGTCCAACTTTCCATCAAAGAAAATGATAAAGAAAGATTCCACATCCATTAAAGGAGAACTATGAGTTGAGTGATTTTCACTGAATAGTTCGAGCCAATGTGTGACAATGAAACAGTCACACTCGGCTCAATAGATCGGGAAGTGAGAGAATACATACCGTCGCTCGCTCACTTCTCGATCATCTTCCTGCACAGAGATGTGACAGTCACACACAGCTCCCTGCAGGGATTCCCCCCTCCCCGCTCCGATCCTCCAGCGCTGAATGGCAGAACGGATGGGGGAGGGCACAGCTGGCTCTGCCTCTAGATAGGCAGAGTCAGCTGTCACTCATGCAGCTGGATAGATCTCGATAATAATGTCGGGATCTGTCCCGGCTGCGAGGGTCTCAGTATACCGCGTGCTGTAGCTCGCGATATACTGAGCTTTGGTCACGGGAGGACGCTAGTTTACGCCCTCCCTTGACCCTTAGGAGAACTATGCGGAAAAACACTTACCCCATAGTTCTCATTTAACTGTTATTAGAACAAGTTCAAAGGTAAAGTGCAGCAGTTTTGGGTCAATTTGTGTTGGTAGTTTTTTTTAAGTTTATAAGTGCTTATACTGTTTTACATAATTTTAATTTATGTAGATTATTATTATTATAAAGGATTTCTATAGCGCCAACAGTTTGCGCTGCGCTTTACAAAATAGGGCAGACATTACAATCACAATACAATTGAAGACATGATGGTAAGGAGGGCCCTGCCCCTGAGGGCTTACAATCTAAAAGTCTGTTTTAAAAATTACCATTTAAATGATAAAGGATTCTGAGATCACTATGGTTAAAAGTAAAGCTTTTTTTGGCTATACATTTTTTAATATACTTTTTTATCTTTATTTTTGGCTTTGGATCGTAGAAGTACATTTATTAATATACTCCTGTGACCCATAGTCTGTTGAAAGCAGTAGTCAGTCAATAACAATAGTCGAGAGGGATCCCAACAATCCAGAGTTAGCTGCTCCCCCTCCCTGCACAGTCTATAGCTTCAGCCAGCACTGAAGAAGCAGAGAAGGGAGGGTGGTAAGGCTCTGTTCACACCTGAGCGTTTTGTCGCACAAAGTTTCCCACTGAAGTCTATGGGACCAAAAAGCGCTGTAATCTGCCAATAAGTAGCTTGTGTATTTTTTTCCAGCGACCGCCATTTTTCTGCTTGTGACAAAACAATCAAACGTGAACAGGGTATATAGAAATGAATAGGATACCTTGTCTTAAGTGTTTTGTCACACTCAAGACAGGCAAATAGGATTCCTTGTCTTGAGTGTTTTGTTGTGCTTACTTTTGAGTGACAAAATGCCTAGGTGTGAGCAGAGTCTAACGGACAGTTACTGTTCTTCACTGGGAGCAGAGATCGAGAGTGACTGATCAGCCTGTCTTGACCTTTGGCCATCCCTGTTTCTAAATATGCCTGTCAACTTTGGACCATGCTCTGGTTGTAACCCCTGGTCATCTGCCATAAGCACAAGTGTACCTGAGGACTGCAACCTTGCAGGTTGTTCTGGTAAAGATCTGGTGACTCTGTTCCATAGACCTTTTAATGGCTTACATCCTCTTTAACATGCATATACCACAGAGTGTTCACTATTTCCCGTTTCCATATACTATTTCATATTTGGCCATGATTTATCACTGCTCTTATGACCCATTGTAGTTCTTTAACCCCTTCGTGACGGGAGACGTACACTGTACGTCCAGCCACAAAGGGACCAAATGACTTGTCACGTACACTATGGCTTCTCTCAGCACAGCTGAAAAGTAATCATGATAATTACGTTAAAAAGGAGAATGGAGCTGTACCTGATGACTAGATAGAAAATGACATAATATTAAAATAGAATACAATGGTTTGTGTAGGCTCAGGAAGTGTTGTTCATCTGTAATATATATATATATATATACATATACACACACGCACTGTATATATAGTGATGTTATTTTAAATTATATCTATGGAATATAGAAACAACATAAAAGTAAAAACATGACAAGTTAACATATTATATATGTGCTATTGGTTACCTGGCGTGGAATAATTTGGTGAAGCGGTCCATCAAATGTTATAGTCTTTTTAGGCACATAAAGCGGCAGTTTTTCATGCAGGTACACACACAACATTAGCATCATCACTGGATTTGGGTCACATAGGTCAGTAGCCTAAACATTCATTCAGAAACAATATAAATTGAAAGCAGATTACTTCATTGGTGCCCAGCCAGGAGCTCAGGTGTTACATGTAGCGTTTAACTGCATTTAATGTTGCTTATGTCAGCCCAGCATAAGATATGTTTCCAGCTGTCTGAGTACTTACTGCAAGGTGGGTAGCAAATTTTTAGACAGCTGGGTAAATTTGCTAAAGGAATAGAGACTATTAACTTATCAAAGTAAATGTTACAATGTTTAGTGCATGATGATACCCTTGTGCTCATTTTAATTATTATAAAACACACAAGAAATATCCTGTTCGTTGCATTTCCCTTACACATGATTGGGTAATCACAGTAAACACAGCTTCACATTATTCGCTAAGCTAAGTCAGCAGTCTATATTCCTTTAGTAAACCAACCCCATTAGTTCAAGGGGCTGGAAGGGATTGCTTTGTTTTATAATTCATACTTGGGGTCGGAGGGCACAAGTAGTTACTATATATGTTCTAGCTTAAAAAATAAATATAAATAAAATAAAACTCAAGCTAGAAAAAACCCACAAGGACAGCATTATTTTATTAATATAGAAACTACCAGTTAGAAATTATATTTTTTAGATGTACATTTTGGTATCAGAGAAACAACCAGAGGCGTAACTAGAAACTTCAGGGCCCCGGTGCAAGAAACCATGAAGCCCCCCCTCTAACCCCCCACCGCCATGGGAAGGAGCTGCGTAGAGTTGACCTGCTGCATGCTGGGAGCCAAGGCAGTTAACAGGGCCCTCTTCCTCCTGTCCAGGCACCCGCAGTTGTGACTGAGCCCTGGCAATCCACTACTTGGGGAAGCACGTTAACCACCAAGGTGCCGACATTGCCTCCTGGGAATACAGCTCCCAGTAGGCAGCCACTCAGCAGCTCTTTCCCATAGTGGTTAATATGGGGGCATGAGCGTTCTCACCAGGGCTGCGGGCGGTCTCACTAGGGATGCGAGCGGTCTCACCACGGATACGGACGGTCTCACCAAGGCTGCGGACGGTCTCACCAGGGATACAGGTGGTCTCACCAGGGTCTCAGGTGATAGAGTGCAGGGCTGGGCTGCTGACAGCTCACCCACCCTCTGTGTCCAGGTCAGTCCTCTCTCTCCCCCTCTGCTCTCTGCCTGACACCGCTCCTAGACCCCTCCCCCTCCTTCCCGGGGCCCTCAGGTGCAGAGCTGGCCCTGGCAATGCCTACAGAGAGCTAAATTTCCCCCCCCACCACCCCTCCTGATGCGGCACATGCTACCCCTGCCCTCCCACAGCTTTGGCACTGGCGCCGATGACCCCTCCCACTCACTGCTCTGCTCGGACAAGCTTTGGTCCGTCAGAGCAGGCTGATGCATAGCGTCGGGCAGGCAAGTGCCCGAGGCTATGCATCGGGCATAGCAGGCCAGGCCGCACACAATCAGGATGATTGTGTGTGGGCCCTCTTCTTCCTCTCTGGGTCCCCAAAACAGGCGGAACACCAGGGCCCGGTCGCGATCACAACCGGTGCGACCCTGGTAGTTCCGCCAGTGGACACAACAAATACATCCAGCTCAACAATATCCAATAAAGATTCAGTGTCCCTTGCTTATGTGTCTGCATAAAGTTAGCTGTCTCTTATGTAATGAGTGGCTAAACTTTAAATGCTGTTCACATAGGGTGTGCAAGGGATCAATGCATCCATCTGAAATCAGGATTGTATATCTTTCACAGGCAAATCACACGTTTGCAATGCAATGCGATAATGTGTGCATTAACGCCCATTAGCACAATATGTCAATTGTGCCAATAATTTTGAATGACATTTCAACACACTTGCAATGCATTTCCGATGCACATACTTTGAAGCACAACACAACACATGGCAATGCACAACTGTGCATTGTGGTGTGCTGCCTTTCAAGAAAATGGTACATGTCTCATTTTTTGGATATTTTAGTGCATTGTCAGCCCATTCGTTTGAATAGGGTGCCCCAATGCAACACATTAATGCACAAAAAAAGCAGTTTTACATGCACGCGTTACCACAACACACCAAGACACCGAGGTGTGAATGGGCCTTGAGTGTGAGAAACTGAGAGTGGGTGAATGGGCCTTGAGTGTGAAAATGAAATTCATTCTTCTGTGTTTAAGGACAGTGTACAAAGTAATGCATTTTTTGTTAAACACGTTTATAAAGTAAATTGTTTTCCACCTGTATGTCAATGTTAAGATTGATTGTTCGGAAAGAATTCATCAGGATCAGGCAGTTGTGAAGGCATTGCTCTGAAGACCCTGGACTGGTATACATGTCTATGAAATGAGAGGAAACCTGCAAAGAAGTATAAGGATTTTTTTCATTTAAATGTGAAGGGATTACCAGACTCATAAGAAACAAACTGGTACTCACAAGATATGGACAATAGGCTGCCACCTGAGCTGCTAGGACAAGACCATCTAAAAGGTCTTTATCAAAGTTCATGATCCATCTTGTGGGTGGTATGTCCCCTAATAAAAATAAAACACAATTAAAAATTAGAATTACTGTAAAGCAAAATATCCCTGAAGCTGCTCATGGCCTCCTGCAGTATTGTGCTAAAAGGAGAACACTTCAACTTGACAGCTCAATGCATTTTTTTTAATTTGTTAAAAACTCAAAAGACAGGACAGGAGAAGCTATGTGACCTTTTAAGGTGCAATCTCCACATGTCTGACCACAGAAACATAGGAAAGTATTATGTATTTTTTTTATTATAGGTAGATATA